GACTGGACAGAAAATACATCAATTACAGGAAGTAGAAGGATCTCAGGACAGCATGAAATTAAGCAAAAAATTGACTTTAATTTGCTTTAAAAATCAGTTTTTGACCATTCAGGTGTAGCAGATTTTGAGCTCCAAATAATGACTTCCATTTTTGGCAATTACTGCTGGGCTTATTAGAGGTGTGATTAGGCTCAAAGTCTGTCCTGTGTCAATGTAGTGATTACCACAAAGGTGTCACAATCTTTACTGGAGAGAGACAGGATGACTGAAATACCACTTGTAACTAATACATGCCAGGCATACTGCATGGCATGTATTTGACTGGTAGTCCACCGGAGCAGAGTATCTCTGCCTGGCTCCCTGTAGGAAGAAACAACTCCTGTACTTTAGTTCGCTTAAATTTCTATGAAGAATTACATGACACTTTCCAGTAATATCAGTTGCCCTTTAAATTATTTGCTTGAACCTTCACTATTCAATCATGCTGTGGAGTTAATTAAGCTATACCAGAAGTAATAAAGAAGATAGATGGCACTCGATCATACATGCACACCCTGACTCTGTGACAACAACTGAAGGCTGGTAAGGTCACAGCCCAACAACTGATGGAACTGTCATCTCATCATAGTGGAAATCCACCAGCAGAATCAGATTGTGGATTGACTTCCCACCGGTCCAGGGCACCAAACAAATGACCAGAGACATATCGTGGCCTTGCCCCCAAACGCTAAACCTCAGAATCTAATCTGAGCAAGCAATCACTCACTTGCAGTTAATGTCATCATTTATGTTTGTTCAATAACTGGCACATACAGTAGACACTTACCGACTTCCTCTGCTTTAGGATTATGTTAGACTAAAGTCCGTCAGACTCATCAAGACCCGTCAAATAATCCATCATCATGACGGTTAGAAATCACTAAAAAACATTGACTAAAAAAAAATAATAATAATAATAATAATTTAAAAAATCTGCTGCAAAACTGATAATACTGACTTTGCATCTTGGAATGTTTTATCATTTTTGGTGGTGAAAGTAATGTAGAACATTGAGTTTACATTATTAGTACAACCCATTTAAATCAATCAAAATATTAGTACTACAACCTGGATGACTGAGAATTTGCACAGACATGTGAATGGGGCTATTGTGCATAATACATATTTTTATTTGTTTATATTATAGTACTCCTTGCAAATGCTGCTGTGAAGGCCTCAGCACTGGCCTTCACCATATGAGGGCCTAAACCACCACCAGCAGTAGAATTAGCTAGATAATCTTTTGTTTCCTTTGTTCGTGTGTTTACATTTAAGTTGTTAGGTAGAAAGAAATTAGGTATTTGATTTGATATTGGGCATACACAATTACTCAATGAAGGATCCACATTTGGTTAATTTTGTATTGTTAATGTGTGTAAATTTTCTTTTTGAGTTACCGTGTCCCTGGTCCATGGATGGGGGGTGGTCCACACAAAAAGATTGGACTGAGGAGGCAACAGGTTTAAATACCTCCCACTAGGCCTGGACTGTACCAAGTGCCCAATACAGGAAAGGGGGGAGTTTGGGAGAAATATATTGTTTATTTGTTTGTAGTTTATGTTAAAACTTTATTTATTATATTTAGTTGTTAGTGCACTGTCTGTTCAGTGTTTATTGGTAGATTATTTAGATAGCGTCTTTGTCCATTCCCTGTGTGTGTTACTGGTTTGGCCAGCCAGTATGTACAGGTGCTGTGCAGTTCAGTTTGTTGTATTTTGAGTTTCCTTATCTTTTGTTGACCTCTTTTAGGGCCCAGCTTACTTGATATTGCTGCATTGCTAATATAATGAAAAGTATTTCAAATTGTGGTATTTACAATTCTGGTTACATGCACTGTGAACTATTTTAAGGCAACTGCAGCAGAAACAAGTTGTAAGCACAACCCTGACATACTGTACTGCTGAGAAGAATCTGTTAGCAAACAGTTTATATTCACATCCAGCATCATTATTCAGTTGGAGTGTTTGTGGCCAATAATTCCTCTCATTTAGCTCTGTTTGTGGTGTCTACAAACTACTGAGAAACTGCTAGATTCTCCACTATGGTCACGACCTGTGTCTGTCTGCCATTTGGTGCATTTGGTGAGTGTGAACCAAAACAGGACAGTTGCAGCCCAGACAGTTAAACAACGAGCTGAAACTAACCACAAAGCTCTGTAAAGTCAGGGGCAGTTACAAGTGATAGTTCTCTGTAGGTTCATTACTACAGGTGACCCTGTTCACATTGTCACTCTGTTTTCATAATATCAGCTGATACATTCTTGATATAAAAATATCAGTTTTAGCCACTTTAGATAAGTCAATTCTTCTACCTCCTTAATAGTAGAAAGAATCACTAGTAATAGTTCTATTATTTATCTTGAGGAAGATTGATCTGCACTGACTTTGAGCAACATAGTCAGCACATGGAGAAATTGTTCCACATTCGTCATGTTATCAAGCAGAACTCACAGTTATTCTGGGGGATGACTGGTGTCTTTTTTCTGCTACATCTCTCTTTCAGTGGAAGCTCAGAAGCCACAAAAGTTTACCCAGAGAGAGACAGAAAAACAACAACAACAACAACGAAAAAAGCAACTCACATGCAAAGGTTAAACTGGCCTCTCGGCTGACGATGGTCCCGAAAGAGCTGGAGGCGAGGCACTGATACGTTCCAGCATCTTGGTCTTTGTTCGGATGGCTGATTCTGAGGTTGCCTCCAGAAAGGCTGTAGCGAGATCCAGATCTCGGATTGATTTCGGTGCTATTTAGTTTCCACCTAAAAAAAAAATAAAATAAACAAAATAACATTTAAATTTACAAACTAAACATTGTGCAGAATATACTAGAGCAATGGAAGCTTTCCAGCTTTCTACAAGAAGAATGTGAATTGCACATTTGATTGTTTTTCAACAGGAAAGAAATAAAAGGGGGAGAGGGTCCAAGAATAATGCCCTCCAGCTGAGAGTTAATCTAAGCAGCAGCGAACCACTGTAGTGCCAAGGACTTGACTCCCTGAGAGCAGATAGCATTGCAGGCCATCCATCTTACAAGGCCCAAGTCAAACCACATGAAAATGCTGCTTAATCATTATGGAGCAACAATTAAAACAAATGCCTGCAACCTTGCCTCCGCACTTTTACATTCTAGACACGTCCACATGATTATCATTGGTGTTAGGGGTGATCAACGAACGATATAATTCACTTAAAATGGCAACAGACACTTGAGACTCTTCACACAGATGCACCTTATTAGAAGAAACACAGCTGGGAGGAAAATGAGTTCTTTCAGAAAAAAAAATGCTTTCAAACTTACTTTCAGCCAGGCCAAGAAAGAGTCCAGACTCTGTAATTTGTTATCAGTGATGCACATTATAAGCATCAAAGCAAGAAAAGGTTCTGCGCAGATAAACAAGCATGGAAGCATTTTATACCTTATTGGAAAATGGACAATGCAGATTTGATTAGGGCCTAAGGTGATTTCATGTTTTTCTGAATGATTTGGGGTTCAGCTGGGAAAACAGTACATTGTTCCATTTTGAAAAGAAAGTGGCTTTGATGTAAAAAAGAACTTCTGCTCGAGCTCTTTTGAACATTAGACACAAGTGGTGCAGAGCTGTATTATTGTCATATGCACAGTCTGGAAACGTGTTTCTCTGCACAATGAAATTCTTACTTTGCTGTCCACACTGAATGTCAAACAACACAAGTGAAATATAAAGTAGATAAACATCCATCCATCTTCATCCGCTTTATTAGAGACCGGGTTGTGAGGGCAGTAGTCCGAGCAGAGCCTCCCAGACTTTCCTCTCCCTACACACCTCCTCTAGCTCTTCAGGAGGGACTCCAAGGCGTTCCCAGGCCAGCTGGGAGACGTAGTCTCTCCAACATGTCCTGGGTCTGCCCCGAGGCCTTCTCCCAAAGGGACATGCCGGGAATACCTCCCCAGGGAGGCGTCCACGGGGCATACTAAACAGGTGCCCAAGCCACCTCAACTGGTTTCGCTCAACGTGGAGGAGCAGCGGCTCTATTCCGAGCTCCTCACGGGTGACTGAGCTTCGCACCCTTTCCCTATGGGTGCACCCACCCACTCTCCGAAGGAAACTCATTTCTGCTGCTTGTATCCGCAATCTCATTCTTTCAGTCAAGATCCAAAGTTCATGGCCATAAATGAGGGTAGGAACGTAGATCGACCGGTAAATTGAGAGCTTCGCCTTATGACACAGCTCCTTCTTCACCACAACAGACCGGTACAGAGACCGCATTACTGCGGATGCTGCACCAATCCATTTGTCAACCTGCTGCTCCATTTTTCCTTCACTCGTGAACAAGACCCCGAGATACTTAAACTCCTCCACTTGAGGGAGCAACCCACCCCCAACCCGAAGTGGGCAATCCAACTTTTTCCGATTCAGAACCATGGCCTGGGGTTGGGGGGGCATAATTCTCTTTCCCGCCGTTTCACACTCGGCTGCAAACCCCTCCAGTGCACGCTGTAGGTCTTGACCTGATGAAGCCAACAGAACCACATCATCCGCAAAAAGCAGGGATGAGATTCTACGGCCACCAAAACAGACACCCTCTGTTCCCTGGCTGTGCCTAGAAATTCTGTCCATAAAAATAATAAACAGAATCGGTGACAAAGGGCAGCCTTGGCAGAATCCAACATGCACTGGAAACAGGTCTAACTTACTGCCGGCAATGTGAACCAAGCTCCTACTCTGGTCATACAGGGTACGAACAGCCTGTAACAACGAGCCCTTCACTCCATAATCCTGAAATACCTCCCACAGAATGCCACGCAGGACATGGTCGAATGCCTTCTCCAGATCCACAAAACACATGTAGACTGGTTGGGCAAACTCCCATGAACCCTCCAACACCCTAGTGAGGGTATAGAGCTGGTCCAATGTTCCACGGCCAGGACGAAAACCGCACTGTTCCTCCTGAATCCGAGGTTTGACTATCGACTGGATTCTCAGCCGATAGTAGATAAACAGTAGCACAAAATCTAAAGGCACTTAAACAGCAAGTTCACAAGAGCTGTTTTGTGCACTGCCCTGTTATCTCTCCTTGTGGTGCCAATATTTGAAAAAAAAAACACTGACAGTGCCACCACACTATCACTGTGATATTTTCTTGTTATATTACATCTTTTCAGCTATAATGTGTCCCATAGAATGGACTCATTTGCTTATGCAGAAAATCAACCGGTACAGGATCATCATATAACAGACAGCTAGGAGCTGATTACATGAAAAACACTGTCAGACTGTGTTGCTTACCTGCAGACCTGTGTCTCACAAACTGCAGAATATTTGTGGGCCAGGCACTGCAGCACTCACAGAGCGCCTCTACAGGCTTTTCTGTTTTATAAAACAAAATGTGTAGCACACTGGTCTTTCATGGCCCTTCTCCAGTTCAGCCGTAAGTAAGTGCACACTCTCTAGAGCCTTATTACAACACACAATAGAACGAAGCCTGAGGTGGGGGTGGTTGCAGTCTCACAGGACTACAACAGCGATTTATTTGCAGCTGAGGTGGAACAAACAAAAATCAACATAAATATTTTAAAACCTAGTAACGCCATCGACTTGAATGAAGAAGCAGAGCGGACGGGAGGGCGAGGGGTGGAAATGGAGGCTCAGAACCTCAGTATCAGAATCAGATAGAGGCTTCCTCTGTTTTTGAAAAAGGATTCCATCAAATATGAAAGCAGCCTTTTCACCATCTTAATTGCTTTGAGAGACTCTGCATTGCACCGATATTGAAAGAGTTTAATCAGGTGACAGCTTGAAAACCAAATGTAGCAAAAGGCTTTTTTCTGACAGGAGATGAGTCATTGCTTTATCTGTGCCTTTCTGAACCTTACACTGGATAGCTAATTGAGTCTGGAAAGTGTTTTGTTGCATCTGGGTGAGTAACCATGTCCCATTCTGAAAAGGATAAAGAAGTAACCCAGTTGGAGAAAAATACTAAAAAATCCCTAAATTTACCATATTGTGCATGTGTGTGTGGTTAAACACAGTGGCTGGTACAGATAATTACCTACCCAAAGCTGCCATTGTTCTTTTGTGATATTAAATACACTACATCGCTTTAGGCCAATTAGACACCATCTTCAAGCTGTTAGGTGACAGACATTCTAATTTCTGTGAAACCTGTGCTCATTCTGACACCAGACAAACTGAAACAAGTGCAAGAACAACTACAGAAAGCAGCAAGAGAGGAACTTTGAATCCCGAGATCATGTCAGTGTATGCCACCCTCCATGAGAAGTACGGATGGCAACAGATTATACTAAACAAAAGCAAATTAGATTATTTATTAATTCTATTTACAATGATTTATGCTGGCAAGGAGGCCACAACAGCAGTTCCATTTGTTAGGCACATGTTTTATGCAATCATGTAACAACAGGCCCTGTACACAGTGGTATAATACCACACCATCTGGCCCATGAGGCTGTGAATGTGGGCGGTCTGTTCCTTTTCGAAGCCTGGTGCTTTAATGTGTTAGAAAAAAAACACTACTTGGTACTACTACAAAGTTCATTTATTTTAGTTTCATTTTGAAAACCAAAAACAGGATATTTACAGTATGTAGAGTGTATTATAGAAACACTCGAGGTAGAAAAATAATCATTCTAATGAGTAAAAAGCAGTCTGAGTCTTTATTACTGGCTTTCTAGTTATTTTACAGATGTTTTGCCATTTTTTACTGAACTGCCTGAGCAGTTTTTACTCATGTATATATTATTTGTTTGATGGTATTTTGTTATGATGTTATGGTTTTATTCCTTTAACATTGGTATGCAGAAATGTTTTGTGTCATGTTGTTTCAAGACACCCTGAAGTGCTTGTTTTATAAAGCACCGATCTAATGTATATTTGTTAAATGATTTTAACCAGCTACTTGAGTGCATGGAATAGAGTTTTTTATGCCTCAGTCTTTTTTCTTCTTTTTAAAATTCACATAATAGCCTTTGTTTTCCATCATTCAGGTTTAGTGTAGACAATACTGAACATCTTTGCTGTTTAATGTAAACATTGCAGCTCAAACTGTTTTCTGCTATGTGATGTGCAGTTAATACACTCTGAACATGATTTAGACGGTTGTATGCCTTTTGCAACACACCTTTAGAAGGTGGCGGCTGCTCTGACAGGACTGTGCAGGGACCTTGACAGGAAACAGCTGATTAGTTCATCCTCTAAGCTGGCTCAGGCCCAAGTATTAAATGTACCAAATCTCACCCCAGCAATTTCAGTGAGCAAACATGATTGATTTGAACTTTTACTTGCCAGAGATTTTGCAACCCAACTCAACACAACACAACACCCTTTCAATAGGCTAATGGTCCATGTAAGGAGGAAATAAAGAGGGGAAAATACTTTCTTTTCTTTTTGAACTTCACTGCAGAAAAAAAATGATGCATAAGCTGGGTGTGTGCAGAGCTTAACATGCCCTCCCAGGCTACAGATAGGAAGGCATACTGCTAGCAGGGGGTCGCAGGAAAAATCTACCACAGAATAGAATTCATGTAATAGATTCTTATTATCCTGATCCACTCAGGCTTGATTTGCAAGAAAGAAGAAGCTGGAAACAACAGACCCAAGACTTTGTTTGCTGCATCAGAATACAAATCCTGGAGTAGGCTCATTCAGGACAAATGGAAGATGATTGAATCTGAGGAAGCAATTACAATATACCCAGCATGATATTACAGGATATTAACGCTGCCTCTGCTTTGGAACTGTTAGGACTACAATAAAGTAAAGCACATTTTGTAGCAAACTCTCCAAATATATTTGAGGCCAGAAGAACAGAGGCTAACTCACTGTCAGTGGGGCAGCCTCAGGCTTTGTCAGATTAGAAACTTTCTGTTTTCTAGTTTTAGAACAGACATTTCATGCAGAAAATATAGAATCACCCCTGTGAGATCAAAAGAACAATATGTGTTCTCTGTTGTATGGTTTTTCATTTTTGGTTTACAGCTGAGTTTGGATCAGAGGGAAGCTGCAAACCCACAACACTGACATTCTTCTGTATTCTTCCCTTGCTGTTAAGACTTACACTTGTTAATCACTCTTAAAACTGTGAACCAGTTTGACAACCTTTCAGCCATTCTAGTTTTATTTTTTCATTTTATTTCCAATAGATGAAATTGGTAAAGGAAAATAAATACACCAGTCAACGTAAATGTGCCAAACATAATCTATCTATCTATCTATCTATTTACAGTACCTATCTATCTTGAAAGACAAGGTTGAAAAGACTTTGTTTTGGATGTGTTCTTGTAAGTACACTGTTTTTACCATCTACAATCACTAAATGCTTTCAGGACAGTGTCAATGCTCCAAACATGACATCATACTACTATCAAAAATTCACAGACCTTTGCCACATCTGTGTTTATTCCTCTTTGTTATAAGTTTGAGTGTGGGCATGACTGTTCCCATCACAGTTCTGTTTATGGAACCAAGTACTGCAGTTAGCAGATTAGTGTTAGCGATTGTGGCTAAATATGACCCCCACATTCTTCTGTACTTATAGTTATTTTACTTTTTGTAAATATACATCACAAGAAGTCACCTTGCATTAGCTGCTACCACTTCTTGCTTACACTGTAACCATGGATACACAGGCAACAATAACTTGGAATACTTTTGATAATGAAGAAGAAGTTAACAATAGATGTGAAGCTATACCCCATTTTAATATGAATTCTAAGCGATCGTATGAATGTTCATCCTCAACTGACATACTGTATGAGAACTGACCACAAAAGGTGAGCTGTATTACTGCCAACAAAGCATGAAAAGACTACAGTCTATTAGTCTGTCATTCAGTACATGTTGTCTTTTCTGCCCTGTCTGTGGCTCTCAGCCCCAAGCCCTTATGTTCATCTCCAAGATTTCAATTTGATAAAGTGCCAAAAAAACAAACACTAGTTTTCAGCAAATGTTACTCAAACAGGAGTAAATACTGTTTTTACTGGGGACAATTTTCAGCTTTGAACACTCATGACTGTTTCTATTTGCAGGATGGCATACATGTGATTGAGTCAGAGGGATCAAAACAGCCCACATTCATGATAATAAAGGAACATGTTACCTAGTGTAACAATGTGGCTCATTGTTTATAATGGTTTCTGAGCAGCAAGCTGTCTGAAGCTCTGTGGAACAGCAGGATATGATACAGCAGGCTTTGGATGCAAAGAAAATACTAGTAGGATCAGGTTATTGTTGGTTCTTTTAGTTTCATGGGATTTGCTGACAATAAATACAAAACAGAACATCACCAGACTTATCCTTTACAGTAAGTTGCACTGATTCCAAAACTACTGTATGTTATCCTGTTTGTCAGTTTCTCTGACAGTGACTCTGAGAAAAAGAAGAGATGCGAGTTTTTAACTTATCAGTTGAGTTGGAAAAGACTTGACCATGCTACAACCCAAAATCAGAACAACGTGGGACAGTACGTAAAATCTAAATTAAAACTGAAAATAGTGATGTGTGAATCATCCATGTCCTGTATTACATTGAAAAAAATACAGCAGCACATTATTTGATGTGATACCTCATCAATTTGATTCTTTGTTCAAAATAAACACTTTTCTGATGCCTGCAATACATTCCAAAAAAAGTTTGGGACAGTAAAGCGTTTACCATGGTGTGATGTTGCCGTTCCCTTTCACAACACATAAAAGACATTAGGGACTGAGGACACCAAGTGATTAAATGTGTCAGGTGTCATTTTGTCCCATTCTCCCTACAAACAAGAGCTCGGTCATCCAGCTTGGACTTGTGCCCTTTATGCACTGAAATCCCTGCAGATTCCTTGAATCTTTTAATCATGTTCTGCACCGTAGAGGGTGACACATCCAAATCCCTTCCTATCTTTCTTTGAGGAACATTGTTTTTAAAAATTTCAATAATTTTTTCACACATATGTTGTCAAACTGGCGGTCCTCGGCCCATCTTTGCTCCTAAAGGGCTCGGCCTTTCCTGGATGCCATGTTTGTATCAAATCATGATGCAGTCACCTGTTGGCATCACCTGTTTCAAATGGAATCATCATTGCATTGTTTTACCTCATTACTGGCCCTGAAATGCAGCCATCACAATTTTTTTGGAAGGTGTTGCAGAATCAGAATTGAAGTGTTTATTTTGAACAAAGAATAAAATTGATGAGGTATCACATCAAATAATGTGCTGCTGTGTTGTTTTCGGTGCAATGCAGGACACAGGTGATTTACACTTCACTATTTTTAGTTTTAATTTTGATCTTACATGCTGTCCCAACCTTTTCTGATTTGGGGTTATACATTATGTTAGGATTTACTGCTCCCTCTTATTGGAATTCAGAGACGTCAGCGTGTAAAGACACATTATTTAAGAGAAGATATAGACATTTTCTGTGATGCTGTCTAAAACTGAATGACGTTGAGATTGACAACTGTATAAAAGCAAGCAGCAGCGGGGAATCAGATGAAGCTCTGCAGACACACACTCACTGGTAGATGAGAAGCGGGCTTCCCTGGGCTTCACAGCTGAACACCACCTCCCTGTTCTTCTCCACGGTCTCAACAGGGTACACAATGCTGCCAGGCTGCTTGGTGAAGACAGGACTCTGCAGGATACTGCTTTCTGTAGGACGACAAGCAAAGGCAACACAACTGAGAATAAACTTAGACACCAGCCTGTTTGTAAAACAGCCAATTAGTCAGCGGCAGAAACAGACTGATATTACTTTAAGTGTTTCAAAGAGCAAAACCTCAAGCAGGTGAAACATATACATCTTTACTGCTTGTCACAACACCATGGCATGGAGAAGAAATATTTGAAGTGAGACAAATCTTCAACAGCTATTTAAGTGGTAATATAATGTAAAGCCTGATTTATGTTGAACAAATATCTGGAAAGATGCCTTCATTCACAGTAGTTCTGTCAACCTGCTTTTATTTGTTCATTTATTTATTTATTTGCCCAGTGGTGGTGGGATTGTGAAAGCAGTCGGTTTCATGTGGTTAGAGCTCTGTTGTAAATGACACAACAGAAGTCTCAGTGATTCCATTAAGGCAGCCATTAACGCAGTGCATTTCTTCTGCACGGTATCAGTGAAGCTCAGAAGACCAGGGAATTTAACAGTTTTAATCACTCTCAATTCACTGGCATGACTTAAACTGCCCTGATGCTTTTAAGTTGAAACCAGGAGAAGTCCTGTATCTGATAGCAGAAGAAGAGGAAAAAGAAATATAAACCAAATAAAATCTGTCTTTAAAAGCAGGTTTTGCTTTAGAATTCTGGGCTCTCATGTCAAACTGAACAGCAGTGTTGTGGTACAATAGCTAAAGGAGTTTACACTAACACTAACTGCAACCATATTTTGAGAAAATCAGCAAAAGAAACTGTGAATCAATGTGCATTTCTATCCACTATTGTGATGTGGATACTGGGAGCCGGTTCAATTAAAGAAACAATTGGTGGTGTTCATTTTTTCCAGCTGTTTGCCATTAAATTATTGCTGAAGACATAATTAAAGGAGCACCAGTTAAATCTCAAAGGGTAAAAAAAAGTTTTGAAGAATTCTGAAAACATAATGGAAGTGTGACATATGTTTTGTTTTATGACAAATGAATTTCATGATTAATTTGCTAAGCTAGTTTATGCATTTTGTAAAACAGTCAGGAAAATATAAAAACTTTTTTACAAAGCTTTAATTTTTTTTCACATTTCTAGTGCTTCTACTCGGTTATGCACAAATTGAAAATGCACTGTTCTAATAATAATATTACTGCTGTTGCAATTAACTATAGCATTGTAATGACCTTCAAATGGACTTGCTTGGATTCACTGGATGTGTGAACTAAACCATATGCTGACAGCCTCTACGGTGTGGCTCCTTTTGCAATAATGTAAATCTGAGTACAGCCATACATCCATGATTCAACATCTTTCTGGCCCATGATCCTGCAAAGTAATCCATACACTACATGCAAAATTTAACCAAACTTTAATTTTCCTTGTCTTGTCTTGACACCCACAGCTTTAGAAAAAACTGTCCCAGATAGCTAAAACTCCAACCAACCAATATTACCCAGTACTGGTTAATGATATCTTGGAACAGAGACTGTCCATGGAAAAGGAGTATATGGAAAGACAGGAGACCGTGCATGTTTCAGAAATTACAGTGAAACAGGAAAATCAGGCATTATTTAGTGACATGAGGTACAGATAAAGTCCCATCTTACAGTTGCAGATGAGAGGTAACTGCTATTGTGGGTAGTGAGCTCTGGAGCATTTACACAGGCTGTGGAATATAGCTGACTCATGGTCTGAAAGTATGGCAGCTGGAGGCAAATGATGACATTAATATATTATCAGGAAGTGTGCTTTTCTTTTGCCCTTCCCACTTCCTTATTGGGTTTCCATTCTTGTCCAAGTGGTGCAGAATATGGCTTCATGAAGTCTTTCATGGCCAGGAAGTTACAGCTAGTAAACAAGCCTGTGTTGTGATAGGTGGAGGAGGCCAGATTCTTCCCAAACTTTACATTTAAACTGGGTACAATACGCACAGAACAGCAAATCCTATGACAACAGTTTTGCACAAATTCAAATATAACACAAGACATGAAATTCATATTCTAGCTTTATGGAGTGTTCTTCAGGAAAATAAATTACATCCTAATCTGTGAAGCTACACGGTTATCAGAGTTTAAGATATTTCCACTCTGCAAAATGTCACAATTCTGCAAGAAAAGCAGATTAACTTCTCTTTAATAATGCTGAACATATCACTGACTTTAACACATAAAATCATTTGAGCATGTTTATATTTTAAGGTTAAAGAATCTTACATAATACTGAAATGTTTGCAGATATCTGGTAAGCTCATTTTTATTGCAGCACATATTTACCCCAATCCAGTTCCAGAGAGTGATGTTAACCTGTTATCACACTCCAATTATGTTTGGTACAGATGCAGACATCTAACACAGCACTACATTTTGAATATCTGTTCCCATTATTTGCTGATTTTAATCATATTTATTAAAAGAGAGGAGCATAAATTACACACATTATGTAGAGGTTTTTGTCTACAAATCATAGACAGAAATGTCGACAGTGAGTACATGTGTGGATTTTGCCTTGTTTTTTCTGCAGTACTGATTATTTGATCCTATGTGCCTGTAAATAAGACTGAATTGTATGTGAAAATTTCATATGAATTAAATGTTAAGTTTGAGTTAAATGTAAAGTTTTTAATTGATTATATTTAGACTCTTTAACAAAATAATAAACTCTCGAATCTCTCTTTTTTATTTTTAGTAAAGCATTTGCTTTAAAATGTAGATTTATTTTGACAGAACATGTTCAAACATCCCTAGACGTCTGCATTATTTCGAGAGGTTGTAATCTTGGTATACCTTACTACACTTTAAACCACAGAATATCTAGACCCAGAGAGTGCAAACCTCCACCAAGTGGCAAGTCCATTTCCCCATAATGCCATAAAAGCAATATTCCCATGATAGTTTGATCCTCATAATGTGACTACTTGACCACAAAAACCTACTGCTGGCATCATTATCATTTTGAAAGTTATTCAAGGAAAATGTTAGACATGGAGATATCCACTCACTTAGGGGTGAAACAGAGACTTCGGTGAGTGGACCCCAAAGCTGTGAAGACATCACATTTCTGCAAGTTTGCCTTCTACTTGTTCAACAGCTCTTTGATAAACTGCACATACCATCTCTGTTACTGGCTGATTGTTGCTCTATGGAGTGATCCTTCATGTCATCTGCTCAGCTGTGAGTGTATGTGTGTGTGCGTGTGTGAGAGAGCGCAGCCCCTCCCTCCTCTAAACAGAAACTGATTCAGTGCAACATACAGTATAAAAGCAAAGTAGGACGGTCTGCACCAACAGGGTGACAGTTAGGGGGAAGCATGGGGTGTACCATTTGTTAGGTTCCAACTCAGCTATAATGGAACACGGGTGTCCTCGCCGACAGGTGCTCTGAACGAGATGTAGCTGCTGCTAATAGAGCTAGCTTGGTCAGATAACGAGCACTGACATTTCTGAAAATGAAACAAATTCTAAATTTGCATTACCTGGATAGACTGCCACATATTCTCAATCTAAATGGTTACTTTGTCACCTAAAAAAATGTCAAAACTCAATAAAATGGCATAACAAGAATGTTGCTTTTAGGTGTAATGGCATTATGGGGAGAATGATCCGCCTTGGCAGAGGTTTGCACTCTCTGGGAGCTGTCTCAGTTATGCCTTAAATGTGTAAACCATAAGGAGGAAATTTACTAAGGACTTGCAGCTCATTTTTGGTGCTAAGGAGCTGCAGTGGGGTTTTGTGCTGGAGAAACAGAAAAGAAGCGTCCCTGCTCTTAGCATGGCAGCTGTTATTCATATGAGACCTTATCAGAGTTAAGAACATATTTGAGGAGACAGAGGATGTTTGCAAATCACATCTCTCACCAGAGGAGAACGTGAGGGACTTTTACAGGCTTTCAGGTCAAACCATGCTTTGGTTACTGAATAAAATGAAAGATGATTTGACTGGCAGAAGACTATGTGATTGTAATTCCGAAATATGTTTCTTGGTTTCTTCAGCCATATTAAAGTTCAGCCGTAAGCTTATACTTTCCTCTGTGCTCCCTCTTGGTCCACATGTGAGCAGTACAAGCAGCAGCTCCTGATAAACAGAGGTGTATTTAAATTAAAACCCATTTACATCATCACTGCTGGTAAATATGCCGGCAAATTTAAAAATTGCAGTGCCACAATATTTTGCGTACCTGGTGGTAATTTTTGGCAAGTTCAGTAAATATCCCCCTGAAGGTTTTAGTCACACGATCTTTTCTGATGTCCAGCAATGGTAGATACTGTCTCAACAATCCAATTGCATTTTGTCTTCATACTACACACTACAAAACTTTTAAACAACAGAAGTCTTCACCACTGTGTTCTGAGAGTAGTGACAGATCTATTCATAGCTGTGTAGAATGACATGCACACGCTAATGCATAATTCAAAGAACTGCTCAATAGGAAATCTAATTCAAGAAAATGTCTCCCTGTACACCTCACATTTTCACAGCATTAGAATATTGTTCCAGTCCCGGAGTAACATTCAAACCTCATGCTAATTTCAGCATTTTTATGAAAAATTGAACAGAGCATTTAAATGTATCACCTCTGACAAACATGCAATCTGCACAAGTGTGGAAACTGATATTATAAGACAAGAGTTTCTAGTAAAACACACAAAGGAAGGAAATCTCTGTATATGTAAATTCAGTTGTTGATGCTGTCAGAGCTTTTGTCACTGTACAGTGTGGCTGGCAAAAAACAGAAAAACAAGACCATGCATTTTGTAAGTTTAAAGAGATCTCTTAGATTTATATTTTACATTGGGATTGTGAACTGCTCAGTACAGAGAGAGGAAAATTCAGCTTAGACTTGTTCAGAAATGTCGTTCAGCCAACAAGATCCCTCCAAAACAACATTTAAAACAAAACAGTGGCTGCTAGCAAGTGTTGTTTGTTCCCTGATCATCCAATAGTAATTACTCAGGTCATTCAGTAATTTTAAGAATGTCTACAGAGTTGCAATGTATTATCTTAACTC